CTAGGTAACCATGCATCCTGTTACTAGAGGGTATATCCATTTCTGCGGTGACAGAGTGCTTACCCAGTAGCTGGAAGAGGATCTAAAGCAAGCATTGCATGACTGCTAGTGAGTGATGGTGTCACTGTGGGACAAAATGTTCCTCGTGGGAAAAAATGCTTGAATATCACAAATTACCTCTGTTGTGACAGTCCAATGTCAGTGCTTGAATCACACTATATACTTTAAAATAGCACAGGAATGGCCTGGTACATTATATTCATTAATAATAATTAAAAATAGAAAACCTTTCTAGAATTTACTTCTGCTTCTAGCATTCCATGACTAGGTCTTAGGTCTAGAATATTTAATTAGAAAACCGGAGTTTAACTGAAATTCGGTCACCACAATCATCAGTTCCATGAGTTTGGAATCACTGTGAATAATACTGTGTGAGAAAACTACGAAGAGCAGCTGTCATCCATGTTTGCCATTTCTCCTTTTCTTTCATTATAATAAGCATATTTGAAGTCCATTTACAGTTCTGCTAAACTAAAAACTGCAAATAACCTGACAGAATTGTATCACTCTGTAAGCCTAATGTAGAAGTCAAACTGTTATACTAGCAATACATCCCAAGTGCTAAAACATGCTGCGGATACATACCTGTCCCATCATGGTCTCCTTATACTGTTTTTTCTGTGTTACTTTGATTGGAGGCAATTTTGTCACGGCTGACACCAAAAAATTCATTAGAATGTCCTCACAATTGGCCAGTTGGTCCACCATATTCTTTAGGCTGGCAGGCAGGTAATGAGTGTACAGGTAGTGATAATATCTGGAAACCAACAGCAGCGTTATTAATACAAGTCACTGGGCTTTCAGGGATTACAAACTCCAGGAAATTTCTATCATCTCAGTTGAGACACAAGATTCATACTCAACTCTGGATAAACCACTTCCTTTCTTCTGTCTCATCCTCCAACAAGAAGGGAGAACAAATCAATATCTCACCGAGACAGTACATAGTGCTAATGGGGAAACAAAACACGCGTCTTTTTGTAACTGGGTTGAAAGAAATAATGCAGACCAAAGTATCAAGATAATGGAGGAGTAGGAAAGAGAGCACCACATTGCTATAATGCAATAGACAACATTGATGAATTCATCCGCCACCTCTTCTTTCAAAACTGTTCACTTGGAGAGAACTCTATTAAACTGGCCTACTCCTGTCCTTATTGTTGAAATTACTCTCCTTTGGGCCTGTATCATCCCCTCTAGCCTGTCTTCTCCTTTGGATTAGATACTCCAGAATTTGCTGACTTTCTCCTAACATCTAGAGAGGTCTTTCAACTGCTGAAGTCCTAACAATGGAGGTTTTCTCCAACATGTTGATCTGTGAAGTGTCCACTGTACCACATTTCTAGAGTAGCCAGAAGACTGAGTGTGCAGCTGTCAGCCAACACATCCCCAGAGCTGGTCTGGAAGTAACCTCTTTTCTGCTGTGCTACAGGCCATTCAGCCGAGCAGCTTAATGAATTCGGGAACTCTTTGAAGTGTGTAATTCCTGATGTTAAAAAGAGCAGTCGGACTGCCTCAAAATACAAGTGACTTCAAAGAGACCCAACAAGCGCAATAATGATTACCAGATCCCCAGAGCTAAACCAAGAACTTAAATTATTACCCCATAAAAAGTATATCCATTTATTATCTTTCCATTTTTCCCCTCCTCTGAAGAATGCTCTTTACCACCACCACCCCCACCTCTCCACCCCCCTTTACTATTTTGTTTCATACAGGAGGAGGACAGCAGATGCTCTGGGTACTTACTTGTGGTAAATAGCAGCTCCTGTCAATACCATGGAATAGTCATTAGTCCATTTGGAGGTATACCCCCACCTCTCCTTAGTGTTGTCCCAGAAGTGACTGCGAGCAGGGTACCCTACAATCCTCTCCGGAAAACTCTGCCAAACTGTAAAGGCAAAATCCACCTGCGGACAAAGGCACAGGCCAAATGAATACTGAAATCGTTTCGACAAATGTCAACAAAACAAAATATTACCTTGCCACTAATTCGTAATTCAAAATCTTGGAACTGTTGCAAAACATTAATTCTATGTATTCATCAGTAAATTAAACTGACTGCTTGACATTTTGCCCTATAATTATGCACATTTTAATGGTTCCTATTAAAGGGAGTCTAGAGCATCACAGCATTACATTAACATTTTCAAGCTTGCCCTTTACATATCAAACCTTTACAAGTTACAGAAAGAATGGCTGTAGGTGCATGTATTTATACTTAGATGCAATAGGGAGTGGTAACAGCTATGTGGTAAACTGAACCTTTTGCACATCTTTGTGCATCTCACCTACCATTTCAGTATTGTCAACACAAAGCTTGGAAAATCAGGAGTCAAACACCTTAAATTGTAAGGGTGGCTCAGGGAGATTAAAACAGGCAATCAATGCGGAGTCCTTTTATATTTTCCACCCATTTCGAGCCTTTGAGGGCCATGCAGGTAACACTTTTAAGACTGCCTATATGACCAAGAGGGTTAAACATATAGCTTAATAAAGAGGAAGATATGATTTCCATGTTGTTAAATGGCTTTAGAAACCTGTACTTTCAAGAAAATGCTTGATACTGGATGAGCCACAAGAAGATGTCAAATGCTGCCAATAGTGGCGTTTTTATTTTATTGTCTTGCTGTAACTATTTGAATAACTCAAATCTCTGAGAAGTGAAAAGGTGACAGGACTTTGCTACCCCAGGATCCCACCAAACAAATCCTGGTGACACTAGGAAAGGGATGATTGGGGTAGCAGAAGGCTTGTCAGCACTAGATTTGAAAGGAGTTTTGTAAAAGATGCATATGGAAAAAAAATTATTACTATAAAGTTGGTTGGCAGTCCCTTCACTTCAACTTAGGTTTTGGAGCTCAAGCTAGACCAAAATTTTAAAAAGACTTAAAGACAAATCTAATAGTCCCAGTCGAACCGAAGAAAATAAGGGCTTTGTTTCTGCACTACACACCAAGTTCCCTCCGGTACCTGAGGGACCTAAAACTTTGCTCAAAAATGCTTGAAAAACCTTCCAAGAACCCAGCCAAAGTCAAGGGTGTAGAGGTTAGATAAAGAATAGCTGCTCTGAGAACAGTCACATTTTATGTGATTACTGTCAGACTTCTCTCATTTATGAGTTTTTATGAAACAGAAGAGTCACACATGTACTGGAACACAAAGCTAGGGACTGCTTATTTTCTTTCAAGTTGTTTCAAGGAATCTGAGGCCAACTAGAAAGACAATGTGCACAAACCAGTTACCGTTGTGATAGTTCTGATCTCATCCAAATCAATACCACATGAAAGAACTAAAGGGTTGGGGTTTTTTTTCCCTGTAAAGGCCTTTCCCATAAAACGTGACATCTGTTTTCTTTAGAGAAGTCTGAGAATCTCAAACTTAAATAAATAATAAAGCAACTGCACTCAGTGCCCTCACTTCTGCTTTCAAGTATCTGTCCTTGTACCAGGGAGACGCACCAAAGCAACCACCCCAAGAGAAAACTCCTGTTATTAAAAAAACCCAGTCCTCATCCTATATAATTTCCAATAGTACTACCACTCAGCTGAT